CGAGTCATTCGAGCCAATAAATTATCATGATTTCTCAGGCTCAATTCTGTCTAAATAATTTTGATTTACCCTCTTCCTCAATCAAATTCATACATTCCTTTGAAACACAAAATTTCTCCATGTTGGAAAGATTTCGATGATACAGTGGGTCAGAAAGATTGACCAGTTTTTACCTTGTAATTTAGCTTTTTTTATAATAAAGTAATTCATTTAATTCCCATTCGATTTACTTTAGGTTAATTAAAAAACAGTTTGTTAGATATTAGTTTACTAACTTGTGATTTGAATATCTTATTTTATACTGAAAAATTATATGAAGCTTTACTATATAACATGATGAAATCAAGCATGCTGCAGAATCATAACTTTGCAATTAGACGAGCATTGTTATAAAGATGCCAGCACCGTAAAGTACGATAACGACGTTTGAAAAAGCTGAAATGTGAAATAAAATATCCTTTTCAAGGGTGAATAATTTTTTCATAAAATTTATAATTACGTACCACCGAGAAACCTCGTAGTGATGCATCAAAGATATTATAAAATGTGATAGAAAAACCTTTGTTGCTTTTTAACATAACCATCTGTAGTATCTTCTGCGTGTTTATAGATGTTTCATACCAGTTGGTGTTGTATCTGTGAATATCAACAAAAACCTATATAATCATTCGACTCTATCAAATTATTCAAACTCCTAAGACATTATTTAAAAATATGTGTATCATATATCAACATAGGAATATCCTATACATATACAGGGGATCCTAGGTAGATAAGACGATTCTGAACAACTTTTTCCTTTGCCAACTATTAATTTTGGCTTCATTTTCGTGTCCTTAGCAAAGAAACACCTAATGAGAGCGAACGTAGATCGAGCGTTTGACAACTTAGAATATGACGGCCAATCGTGGTCGTGAATTAAAAAGTTAAGAATAATATTAAGTCCTTCATTATTTTTAAGTAGAAGCTGGTCCAATTAGTTTTTGTTTATCTGGACCGAGTACATTGTATTTATTTTATTTTAAATGAAAGTGAAGGTAGTACAAACTTCTCTTCTACGAACAAATAGGAAACAGCACACCCAAGAAAATTTGAAAGATCTCCAAAAATGGCGAAGTTACTCTTGGGGGTATTTTCGAAAGGCGTTACAAACACATCCCTTGGGGTACAAACGAAGGTGAGAGTAGCACCAACGGGTATAAACATCTCTTTTTATGATGGCGTTGAGAGAAATAAAACATGTTAAAGTGAGGTGCTGGCGTATTTTCACCCCTTAGGGTACAAACGGGAGAAAGGTGGTACAAACGGGTACAAACGAAGGCGAATACGATACAATTGAAAGAAATTAAATTTTTAAAAGTCGGGCGTCAAGTTCAGATAGGTGGTCGGCTATCACATTCGAAAATGTCGCTCACACTGTCAATCGCCCGTTACTGGCGCTCGTTCACTAATCAATGTTTTTTGTTGATAATTTATTATAAATATAGTTTATAGTTTATAATTGTTTATAATTTCCAATATTCTGGCAAAGGAAAAAGTTGTTCAGCTTTTCGGCTCTCACAGTAGTAATAGAGCATCCTGTTGTTACGTTCCGAACAGGAATATTTTTCAAAATTTCCTTTGTAGTTCTCACCGACCGGATGTGTATCGATAATGCGTATTGCATTCTGGGAACACCCTGATCGAACGCAGTAACGGTCTTTTATGTTATTAGATAGACTATCTTTTGGCGACTAAACTAAGATTGTTAATATAACACATTCCTTCCTTGAAATCAACGTGGTCCCACGGCCAAAATCTTAGACCATTCTACTTCTCCGAACCGCCAAATATAAACGGAAGTCACACTCGTGTGATCCGATAACGCCAAGCGTTCTGGAATGTTCCTCAAGGGCCCGCGACGCAATATAGAATTGTAATAGAAATTGTCTTTGTAAAGTTACAATATTATATAAATTGCCCATAGAATTTCATAATACCGTTATTATAAATACGCACACGTCAATCAGTCGTACAATAGTTACAGTACCGAGCGCAATTTAACATTAATAATTGTAAACCGAAATAGATAATGTTTCATTCTAAATTTTTATAATGTGTACAGATTAACATTTTATATTGTATTGGTTATGCATGTAAAATTATTCAATAGCTA